TTTTTTATATGTTTAGTATTAAATTATGGTCCTCTTGTAAGAATGTATGAGAAAGCAATAAATCTATTTTAAGCATCTTCTGTATTTTCGTAAGAAATGAAATCAAAGTTAATCTTTTTTAGACATATAAGATTTTACCTGAATAAGAAAATTTATTTATAATAATAAGGTAAAATTAGCTCTGTTACAAGCTTAAACAGAAATAAGCTCATAAGATTTTAGGGCTCCAAGTATGCAAGATTGAATAGTCCTTATTTGTAATTTATTAGAAATTTTAATAATGTTGGTATGAGAAAAATTCTTATTTATATATTTAATTATCCATTTATTGTTTATTTGTTTTTAAATAATTTTAAATTATATATATATATATATATATATATGTAAATATATAATCTTAATATAATATACTATTTTTTTATTTTTTATTTTATATTTTATATAAACTAATAAATTAATCTTATTTATTTTTTTTTCTTTTAATTAATATCTTAATATATTTTTTAATTTAACTTTATCAAATATTTTGAATATAGGGGAAAAAAATAAAAAAAAATATGCTTAATTTATACCATTTATTTTTATATTTTTTAAATATTAAAAACAAAAATACAATTGTAAACATATTTTTAATATTTCTTAAAATTTATATTTGTAAAAATCATAATAATAATTTTTTTATTTTAATAAAATCTATAAGAACTATATAAATAATACAATAGAATAAATATATTAAAATGATTTCATAATTTTTATTTTTTTAAAACAATCATAAATATAGTAACATATAGTAAAATTAAAAAAATAAAAATAACAACTAAATATTTAACAAAATTATTTATATAAATAATATATAAATATATATTAAAAATATTAATTATGGATTTGAAAAATTATTAATAAAAATTTGAAGGATATTTAACATATGATTATCATGAATTTTAACATTTACTTTCTTAGTAAAATGATATTCAGAATTTATATTCATCTTTATAAGTAAATAATAACTAAAATTTAATAACTAATTACGATAAAGCGAAATAATTTTATAGTTTAATAAATAATCATCATTAATAAAAAAGTAATGAAATATTTAATAATTAATATATTTAATATTTAGATGATTAATAAGTTAGTACTAATTTAAATAACTAGATTAGTTGTGGTAATAGTATACATAATAAAGAAGATGTAACTGATTAAGATATATTTAATTAGTTTTTGATGTAATTGGACTTCAAAAATATGAATAATACTGTAGATTCTCTTTTAATGGAATAATTTAACTGTTTATTATAAATAAAGGAACATTTTATTATGTTGTAAAATTATATTAGAAAATTAACTTAAAATGATACTGATTTACAATATGATTATTTAAAAGACTAGTTTAAATAAATGTTATATTAATTTGAAAATATGATAAATTCAATTTCAGAATAAATAAATCCTGTGGCTTTCAGTGTGTGTTATTTTAAGTGTATTGAATATTTAAAATTTTTTTAAGAATTTATAGATTTAAGATAAAATAATAATAGTTTAAATAATTAATAATAAAATAATAATTAAATTAATTAAAGAGAAATATTAATTAAATGTATAAAAATATATGTATAATGGTATAAAACTAGTTAGAAAAAATAAAAAAAAGAAATTAATATAAATACAATTAAAAATGAAATATTATAGTTTATTATGTAAAAAGAATAAATTTCCTCCTTTTAAATGTGTAATTAAAAATATTTATTAGCCCCTAGAAAAAGTTATAAAATTAAAAATATGTTAAAAAAATAATATAATAAAGATTTTTATAATAATTCTAATTGATATATAATATTAATTAATACTTATTAAAATTTTATATTAAATATAATTTATAAAATGTATTTTATTTAATTTATTATAAATATATATATATATATATATATATAAAATTATTTCTTATTAGTTATATTTTTTTTTATATTAAGGAATCCAATGTTTAAAATTAATTTAAAAAATATTTAGTTTACTTTAAAATATATTATTTTTATAAATAAATAATAAGAAAATTTAAAATAAATATTTATTTTATTATTATTGTTTTTTCTTTATTATAAATCAAAAAAAACATATTTTGTTATTTATAGTATTAATTATTTTTTATAATATTTCTTTATTTTAATTTATATTTATTAGTTATTGACTAACTTTTACATATATCTTCTTTTTATTATTTAAAAAATAACTTTAGAAGCTAAATTATAATTAATTACATTTTTAATATTTAAAATTAGTAATTTTAAAGTAATTATATTAAATTATAATAATAAAATTTATGTCATTAATTTTTTATTTTTATTTCTTTTAGTAATGTATTATTATTTTGACGTTTATATATTTATGTTAAATTTTTTTTAGACTTTGTTTTTTAGTGATGTGTTTATTCTTGATTTTTCTATGATATTTTAGAATCTAGATGCTTTATATAACTTTTTTTTATGGTTATATAGATTGATTTTAAGGCTAGAATTAAGTTGTTATAAAGAATATTAATAAGTAGCTTTTTAATTTTATTTTATTTATACGAATTTAAGTAATAAACTTGAATATGACATTTAATGCTTAAGCGTTCCAAGTATTATTTAACAAAATTTTTAAATTCATTAACAAAGTTAACATTATTATTTATTTTTTTTAAGTTTAAATTTTTTTTTTTTTTTAAATTGATAGATATAATATAAATTATTTACTTATTACAGTTTTTTAATATATAATTAAAAATATTAGAATTTTATTTATAAAATGAAATATATATATATAAATAATATTAATAATATTTTTTATAAGTTTAGCTAAACATTTTTAAAAAATTAATTTTTTAAAACAAATGAGTTTATAAATATGTAATTAAGAAGAAACCAGTCAAAAAATTGAAAATTTTAGTAAAAATTAACCAAAAAATATTGAAAAAAAGCCTGCCAAAAAGGATGCCCCAAAAAAGAAAAAAAATCCAGAAAAAGAAAAGATTGAAAAAGAAATTACTGAAAAAGAAAAAACCGAAAAACCTAAAAAAGTGAAAGACTAAAATAAAGTATCTTTTTTTTAAAAAAAAAGAAAAATAAAAAAAAAAAATGAATAAAAAAGCTAAATTATTTTTATAATAAATAGGATAAAGAAAAAAAAGATGCTAAATGTAATAATACATAAGCTAAAAATCAATTCTCAGATAAAGATTATTAATATTTGATTGAATATGTAAAATAAGCAAACAAACCATTTAATGCCGCTACAATAGAAAGTAATTTAAAGGCAAAAACATAATTCAAAAAATTATCTTTAGAAAGTGCTTTATAATAAGGAGTTACCGATAATTCACTTAAAAAAAAGGTTTATGGTAGTTCCGTTGTTTTTTGGTTTAATTAGGCTTAGCTAGAAAGTGTTAGTAAAGAAGAAATATAAGAATTAACATAATAAATAGTAAATACAAATACTGAATATTCAGAATTTTCTTAATAATTAAGAACTTTAAATTAATAATTGACCAAAATTATGATGGAAAAAACAGATTAGTAATTATTAGAAGAAATATAAAGATATACAAATTTAATTTAAAAATAAGAAGAATAATTAACTTTTTATTAAAGCGATTAATTCATTTAAGTTGAAGAGAATGAATGCAAACAAATAGAAGAAAAAGTTCAGAACATAGAATCTACATATAAAAAAAGAAAAAGAATTTGTGAAGATGGAGTAAAGGAAATTATTGAAAATAATGAAGAATAAGCCAAAACATTATAAGAAATGTTTGAAATTATGGGAATGGATTAAGAATGAAAGTTTATATATGTTTATGTATAAAATCAGATATTTGTAGTCATTATAAATATATAAATAATAATAAATATATATATATATATATATATATAATATATATATAATATGTATATATATATATATTTGAAATAATGTTCGCTCTATTAAAAAGTTATATAATATGCTCAAAAATATATAATATAAAAAACTTATTTAAAATGAAAATGAATATTATATTTTAATAAAAAAAAGCTAAAATACTTTATTTTTTTAAGATTATTTAAAATTTTTAAAATTATCTTTAATAAAATTTATTTTTTGTTTGATAAGAATAATATAAAAAGAAAGAAACTCAAATTAATATTAAATAAAAAATATTATATTATTTATTTAAAATACATATTATGATAAATAATAATATTATTAAATAAGAAAAAAAATATTAAATATTTAATAAATTTAAACTTCTAATTTGAGAATTATTTGAACTAATATTATTAAATATATATTAAATTTATAAAAATTTTATAAAATATAACAAAAAAATAAAATATAAAAACTTTTTTATTATTATCAAAAATTGCTTAAGTTTTTTATAAAATTAGATTTGTGAGGATTATGTGCTAATATAATCATATTATAGGCTTCTTATTTAGCTATTCTTTTCTCAACCTTAATTAAATACACATAAATATATTTACTGTAATAAAAATAAAAAATACTCTTTCTTCTAATGGATATACTTCAGAGTAAAAATCATAAAGTATTAATGGAGCATAAGAGCATATTACAAAAAATAAAAATAAAGAGTATTATTTTTTAAAATAGCCAATAGGTTAATATATTTTTTTATATTTTATATTTCCCTAATATTAAAATTAGTGTTAAAAATTAGGATACTCCATAAAATATTACAAATATAATTTGTTAAATAAAATAATTATATTAAAAATATGATAAAAAGGATATTTAAATTTGTAAAAAAAATATTTATATAAATAAAAAAAATATTAAAGAATAAAAGAACTAAAAAAGAATATATATATATATATATATATATATATATATATATATATATAAATTAATTTTATTTTTTTTAAAAAATATTAATAAATAAATATATAATATTTATATATTTTAAAATTATATATTTAATCATTTTTATATATAATTATATATATATATTTTTTTTTTATTTTTTTTTTGAATATTGATTTTTTTTAATTCTCAATACTAAATCTTTCCATACTACTATTACATACCCATATAATAAGGTTATTGTAAATTCATAGCATTGTTGTATTAAGAAAGCATTTATTATTATTAATTATAAATGGTTTAATAATAAATCTAAGCATTAGTATAGATAGTTTGATATTATTATTTTTCTTCTTCTGTTCTAGCCGGATCTTTCATAATTTCATTTACTATTTAATATGCGCTATTTTAATCTCCTGCTCTTGCATATTATTAAGCAAATTATAATTTTTTTAAAGTATTGAGATCATTTTTAAAGACTTATTCGAGATTCGAAATAATTGAAATTAATAAAAGTGAGTCTTAGTTATTTAACAATAGAGATTATTAAGGAGTACCCTAGTTCATATTTGAGGATAGCATTTCAACATCTCCATGAGCAAAAGAACATCCGTTTTAATTTTTGCAATATCCCTTTTAGAAATATTAGCATTTGATTGTCTTGTAATTATTGCATAGAACTTTAGGTTGGGAATTTGGAATGTTTACAGGGATAGGATCAGTAGTTGTTCTTAGTTCTTCCATTCCATGGGCAAAATGACAGGCTTAACCAAGTTGACAATTTCCATTTTTGAAATGGCGGCAAAGACTTGTTTTGTATTTTCCGGTTGAGATAACAGGGGTTTATATCACTTAAAATCTTTAGCTTGGAGATGCTTAGGGGTTTTAGTTAGGGATTTGTTGTTAGTAATAATTATATGGTTATTATTGTTAGGACATATCTTTGGTTTGGTTTTTGGTATGTTTTTGATTGTTTTTTTTTTATTTGTGTGTTGAGGATTATATTATTATATTTTTAATATATGGTGTTTTTATAATTTTGTTATTATAATTGAGTTTTTATTCTATAGCTTATATTTATTATATTCTTGTAATATATTGTATTATATTATATAATCTATTATATACAATATGGTTTGTTGTTTTTGGGTTTTTTTTTTTTTTTTTTAGTTTTTTTTTTTTAAATTAATTATTTATAATTATTTTTGAGTTTTTGTTTGTATTTAAAATAGATTTTATTTAGATTCGTGTGTTTTAAAAGATAAAATTATTATTTTTTTTTTTTCCTTAATATTATTTTAAATTTAGTAATAAAGACTAAATATATAAAAATTATATAAATATTTAAAGTTAAATAAATATTTCAATAATTATAATTATTAATTATTTTTTTTTCAATTTTTAAAAAAACCAAAATTTTTATTTTAATAGTATATTACTATCAGAAAAAATTAATTTTATTTAAATAATTTTATATTTTATATATTATAAATATATACTTTTATTTATAGATAATAATTTTAAAAAAGTAAATTATCGAATTTATTATATAAAATTTATAAATTTTAAAAACTATAAATAAAATAAAAATTATTGCTTATTCTTTATTTATCTATATGACTATTTTTTTTTTTTTTGATGTTTAAGAAGTTTTTTTACAAATACTATTTTATTATTAAAAATATAAATTATTTTTTAAATAATAATATAATAAATAAATTATATTTTATAAATAAAATATAAACATTATTATTTGAAAAAAATAAACACGAACAAAAAATACATATTTAAAATTTAATAAAAATATAAAATAATAAATATAATTTTATGATTAAAAAGTTTTAAAATAATTAAGCAAATATAGTATTTTAAATTTATATATATATAAAATAAAAATAAATATCATAAAAATATTTATTCTATTATTATAATAATTACATAAATAAAATGTACAATGTTTAAAAAAATACATAAATAAATTATTCCTTATGTGATTATTTATAAACTAAATAAAAGCTCCCAAAATTTTTAGATTTATAATTCGAACCTTAGTCATAATACAAAACGCTATATAATAATAGTTATAGCAAAAAAAAACTATTTTATTTTTAAAATAAAATGATAATAAAAAATTAGTAGCCAAAACTAAAACAAATATTAACCCAAACAACAATTTAAGATTTAAAATCTGAACATAATTCAAATACAGGCAATAGTATTTACTAATATAGTGATTTTATAGATAGATAATATTCAGGCTAGAAAACAAAGAAAGGCTATATTATTTAGAAGAAATATTCTCCTAATATTGACTATAGAAAATAAATGATATTATTAAATTAAAAAAACGAATATGGTAAGAAATTTTATAGTTTAGAAAAGGTTAGGAATATAATTTCTTCTTAAAAAATAAGTAGTGTAAAATGGCTTAAACTAAAAAATAACTTAGACTTAGAAATTAATGAGAAAAAGAAATGCTTAAAAATATAAAATAATAGTAATTTAAATAAAGAGAAAAGAAGAGATATTTAATTAAAAAATAGAGTTGAATAAATAAACTTGAATTAATATGAAAAAAAATATGCTTTTACGGAAAGAAATACTCAAAAAAAAAAAAAATTTTTTAGTCCTAAAAAGTATGATAATATAGATTATAGCTTTTTCGGAATTTAATGTTAAAAAATTTTCAATTAATTTTAAGATGTTTAAGAATATAAAAAAAATAGCAAATTTTATGAAACATAAAATACATATAATATAAAGGATATTAAGTAATTTTTATATAAGTTTAGCTATTTTTTCAATTTTTAAGTTTATTTTCAGATATATGCCTTTGAATTGTAAAAAGGAGGAGAAGTTTAAATAGATTAAAAGCATTTATATAAAAGGAAAAAATTAAATCAATTTTAAGAATTAATAATAAACTAAATAATATTAAAAAAATAGTTTAATACATTAATAAGATGATTAAAAATATGAAATAAAATCAATATTTAGTATTTTAAAACTTTAAAATAGTATAAAAAATGATAATATGAAGTAATAAAAAAATATAAGAATACGTAAACAGCTTATTAATTTTTTAGAAAAATACATTGAATTAAATATAACAATTAAAGAAGTTTATTTTATATATAAGATTAAAATAAAACAAAAAAACATATAATTTATATTTTTCTTTTTTTAGGGAATGATAAATAAAATATTTGCAAGAGTACCATATTTACGTCAAAACTCAAAGATATTTTTTAATTATATTAAACAAAATGACGTTTGTAAAGTATAATAAATGCTAAAACAAAACAAATATTTAGTATATGAATATGATAGTGTAGATTTTTTTTAAAAAAAAATATAAAACTATTTTTTATTTAAAACAAAAAAAAAGACTTTTTAAACTCCTTTACATTGGGCTGCTAAAAGAGGATATTTATTAATTGCTTAAATTTTAATTAATTATAAAGCTGATATTAATGCTAGAGATGATGTAAAAAGACTTCTTCTTTTTTTTTTTTTGTTAAATAGTATATTTAATTTTTTAAAGACAGGAAAAACTCCTTTATATTTTTCTTATAGAGAAGGATATAATTATATAAGTTAATTATTAATAATTAATAAGGCTTCTCCTTGGTCTTATAAAAGAAATAATATTAACTAAATGGCTTATAGTAGATAAAATAATGATTTGCATATTTTAAAAATATCAAAATAAGTATATTTATTTATGAATATATTGTATGCTTAATTTTATATTTTTATTTATCTAAAAAAAAAAAAAATAACAAAGATTCATTTAATGTTTCTTCTAAATTCTTTTAAATTAAAAAATAAATTGTGGGAAGAATCTTAATATCTATTTGAAGATGTAAAATAAGAGATTAACTTACTTTTAAAACTATGATTTTCTTCTTCTTTTTCTTTTTAATTATTGTATTTTAATATATTTTTTGAATTTTAATCTTTTATATAAAAAACAAAACAAAAAATTTAAATTAAATTTTGATAGTTTTTTTAATAAACTAAAAAAAATATATGTATTTTTTAAAATTGTACATAAAAGAAAAATAGTAATAATAACTTTTACTTAATAAAAAAGAAAAATAACTTAAAAAAAAATAAAATTTATTTAAAAAATAAAATAATAAAAAAATAAATGGATAAATATAAAACAATTGAAATAATTGGAAGAGGTTCTTTTGGTGAAGTAACAAAAGCATAAAACATTGAAACAGGCGAAATAGTAGCCATAAAAACAATGAAGTAATAATTTAGTACATGGGAAGAATGTATAAACTTGCGAGAATTAAAATCTTTGAGGAAATTAGTTAATAATAAAAACATAATAAAATTAAAGGAAGTTATACGAATAAATAATTAACTTTCTTTAGTTTTTGAACATATAGATTTAGATATATTTAAATTATATGAAGATTAAAAAAAATAAGGAAAAAGACTTTCCGAAAATTAAATAAAATCTATTTTTTATTAAATCGCTAATTCTTTATAATATATGCATAAACATGGGTTTTTTCATAGAGATTTAAAACCCGAAAATATACTCTATAGTAAAAAAGATGGGTTTATTAAACTTATTGATTTCGGACTTGCAAGAGAAATACGGTCTAGACCTCCTTATACTGATTATGTGTCAACCAGATGGTATAGAGCACCTGAATTGCTTTTACATTCAACTAATTATAATTCTCCAGTTGATATTTTTGCATTAGGATGTATTATATGTGAGTTATTTATGTTAAAACCACTTTTTAATGGAGCTTCCGAAGTTGATTAAATTCAAAAAATATGTACTGTTTTAGGTACTCCTTCAAAATTAGATTGGACAGAAGGTAAAATATTTAAAAAAATAAAAATAACAAAAAAAATAGGTTATAAATTAGCGTCAGTTAAAGGAATAAATTTTCCTTAGTATTAGAGTATTCCTTTAAGTAGTTTAGTAAATTATTGCTCTAGTGAAGGATTGTAGTTGATAAATGAATGTTTAAGATGGGATCCTTAAAAAAGACCTACTGCGGCTAAAATATTACAACACCCATATTTTAGGGATATAGAGAAAATACTCCCGGAAGATTATTTTAATGAAAATGATGAAAATAAAAATACTTAAAATTATAATGTTTTAAGTTAGAAGAGAATTTCGAATTATTAATATAGTAGTAGTTCGGATGCTAATATAGGTTTAGGAAATTAAAATGTATTAGAGAATAAATTGTAGTAATAAGAATTAATTAATATTAATGACAATATGTAAAAACCACCTTTAAATCCAGGTAAAAAATATCAGAAATTAGAGCTTATTTTAGAAGATACTAATAATAATAATAATAATAATAATAATAATAATATTTCATAGGAAAGATCGTATAAAAATAGAGCAAATTCTTTATAATAAAGAAATTAAGAGTCAAGTTAATCAAAAAAAAGAATGCTAATAAATATGTAATAAGAAGATGATGATATACTTAAAAATTATTTATAGGTAGGAGGAGGTTTATATAATTCAGGTAATAAGAATATAGTTCAAGATAATTAGAATTTATAAGAAATTTTATTTCCAATTTAATAATAAAAATAAGATAAAAACTACTAATATGCATAATAAATTTAAAATGGATAAAATAGCGAAAGAAATAATTAATATAAAATTTATAATAATATATATGATTTCTCAAATAAGTAAAATGTGTTACTTTAATAGTAATTTTCATTTCCTAATTAAATTAATAATAATATTAATAATAATAATAATAATAATAATAATAATAATAATATTAATCATAATAATATTAATCATAATTATTATTATTATAATAGTAATATTAATACTAATAATTATAATATTTAAAATAAAAATATATACGATTTTCATAATGTTAAAATACCTCTAAGGAATATATAAATACCTTTCAAAATATGAAGTAATAATAAAAAAAAATCTTAGGATATATATGTAATTATTAATATTTTTTATTAAATAAAATATATTATATATTTTCTATTTTAATTATAAATATAAATAAAAAGTTTAATATAATATAAAATAATAAAATATAAATATAATCAATATTATCAAATAATTTCAATATCATCTATATCTATATTATTATTATTATTATTAACACATTTTATCCCATTTTATTTATTATTATTATTAACCTTTATTTTTTTCTAAACTTTATATATAGCCTAACCTTCTTAATTATCCTTTTTTTTTATATTTTTATCATCATCATTATTATCTTTTTTATTTCCTCCGAAAATATTTTAAACAATCTAAATTCTTCCGTCTATAATATAGTCTTCCTATTAAACAGGATTCATAAAATTTACTAGTTTTTAGTGAACATCGTATCTTATTTTTCTAGCTTTTGATGTTTTTCTGTCTACAGTTTTTAATTTCTTTTCCTATTATTTTAGTTTTCTATCTAATAAATAAAGTCTAGTAGAATCAAAGAGGAGTCCATCTTATCCTACTTCTTTATTTTCTTCGATTTCGGTCATATATTCTTTCAAAAGCTCATTATAAAAGTCATTATCATCATATATTTCCTCGTCTATATCTCTTTGGATATTAGATGCATTTTCGCCCAAAATTCTAAATGAATTTCTCTTTAATTAACTCTTATATAACATTTTATCGAATTATTCCATTGCTTTTTAAGCTTAGCCTATAGGAGTTTATAAAAGACCTTTCATGCCACTTTTTTTTAAGTACATAGTGTTCAAAAGTTAGGCTTTTTAACTCCATTTTAGTATATTTTCTTCCATCCAAGGGTTTAATTAATCCATTTAATTTTCAGATTATTTCCATAAATTTTCTACGTCTAAAATAGTAGTATTTTCGTATTCTTATTGGGAAATTCTTTCTTAATGGATATATTTTTGGAGTTATTTTATATAAGTTTTTTTTTCTGAAATTATCTAAAATGGTCCTTTAGAGTTTTTAAGCAAATTTAGTTTAATTTAAGAAAGTATATCTATATTTCTTAAAAGGGAAATTTCAAGTAGTTTTTATTTTGATTTAGAGTCTTTTTAAAAAGACATAATTTTCGGAGGTAAAGGATGCTTTTTTATTAATTCTAGAGACTTGTTTAAGGAAAAACGGGTAAAAACTAACTCTTTCCAAACTTGAGTCTATTATCGAACACTTTTGGCTTTTTCTATATCGTCATTTTGGTCAATTTTTTTTTCGGAAAATTTCTATTTATCTTCCTCTTCGAGATTATCGATTATTTAATCTACATTTAATTTATCTTGTACATATTTTTTTTTTTTTTTCTTATCTAATATTTCGTTTGAGAAATTTTTAAGTCTTTAGAATTCGTCTTCTTCTTATGATTCTACTTATTGTTCTTCTTTTTCGTCATTTTGGGATATTATACTTTCCTCATTACTGGTTATACTTTGTTCTGATTCTTCAAGTTGTTTTCGAGTTACTTTTTTAGATTTGTAAATGGGAAGGAGATTTTATTATTAAGCTTTTTTAGTGGAATTTAATTCTTGGAGTTAGGTTTAGTATTATGTGTCGGATTTTAATTGCTTTTTGCCGAATTTTAATGTGTCTAAATGGTCGAAATCTTCATTTGTTTTGGATTTGAATTAATTTCGTTTATTTCCTAATGTTTATTCGATTTTTTACCTGAAGTTCGACATTTTTTTATTTAATTTTTATTATTTTTAGACTCTACTTTTTGTATTTATTTATTTTATAAATTTAACTTTTTAATTTTAATGTTTTTTTAAAATTATTTTAATTTTATTTAGTATGTATATAATATATATATATATATATATATTTATATATATATATATTTATATTAATTTTATTTATTTTGTTTATAATATAAAGATATTCATATTTTCTCATCTTTTTATTATATTATATTATATTATTTAAAAAACAATTAATTGTAAATTTAATAAAAGAATGAAATAAAAAAAAACATATTATTATTATAAAATTTAAAGGCAAAATAAAATTATAAAAATATCTAAAAAATAAATATAAAAATGGAAGTAAACAAAATAATACCATAAAAAAAAAAGTCAACATTTTGGCAAAATAAACGTTAAATAAAAGTTTATATAATAATCTCAATAATATTCGGTATTATTTTTCTAATAATAGCCCTAGTACTCCCTATATTAATATCTAAAATGATAAAATCTAAAATAGACAATAAAATAATAATGCATAATTCTAACTATAATCTCTGGGCCAAAATTCCTGGCGAAACTAATACTTTTGTAGTGAGAAATTTCACATTTTATCAATTAAAAAATCAAGATGAATTTTTATTTTTCAACCAAAAGCCTAAAGTTTAAGAAACAGAAGTTATTTCTTATTAAGAATTTCAAGAATTCCGAAATGCTAATTTTTTAGAAAACTAGGCATTAGTACAATATGATTTCCATAGACATTTTAATAATTTAACAGACTCATCAATTTTAATTAATGACGTTTTAAATGTAGGATCTTTTGGGGCTTGGCATAAGATGAAAAATGCAAATGAAACTTTACTTTCATTAAATGGGCTTTCTATTTTATTTAAATCTTTAGTTTAATAAACTGTTCCAGTTATAATAGCTATAGGTTTTTTTTATTTTATTTTTTTTAGATATATATTTATATATTTTGTATTTTTAGGATATACAGGATTAAATAAGGATGAGACATATAATTATTATTGCAAAATAGCTTAATTAAATGACTAAATGTGTAATTGGTTAAAAACAGATTCTATATATGGATGGAAGGATAATTTAACATTAATACATTGGTCATAGGCTACTTTATCAAATTCAACATTTTCAGGCGAAAGTTTATATCTAAAAGATTATTTTAAATTAAGTAATGATTAATTTAATTCGCTTTATAACTCTTTTTCGGAAACAACTAATGCTTTGATGAGTTTTGCAGTAGACTCATATTGTAATTAATATATTCCTCAAAATTTGACATAAAATGTGACTTGTAGGAATGATCCATTTAGCTTAGCGGCTGTTTAGTGGAGTATAGGATAAATTTCTAAAAATCCTCCTTATCCTATCAAGCCTTTTGAAAGTATTACTTAAATTAATTTTACTTTGAATTATATGCCGGAGATATGCAATTATTTAAAAAATATTTTCAGTTAGTAATATAAAGAAGTATTTAATGAATATAAAGATGTCTAGTTTTCAGTAAATTGGGCTAGAAAAGTAATGTATTATAAAAATTATGAAAATAAAAAAGAATTTGTATAAGATAAATATAGTCTTTTAAATATAGGAAATTTAGATTTTTTATGGAAAAATGGAAAATTGTTTGATTAAACAAATGATAATAAATATTTATAAAATATAAGGTAATAATTTGATATTGAAGAAATAGAAGAAAGTATTTTATTTAAAAAAGATATATAGATATATAAAATAATATAAATAAATAAATTAAAAAAAAAAAAAATTATAAATATATATAAATATATTTATATAAATATTATATATATATAATATTATATTTATATATTTTTATTTATTTATTTATATATTTATATATTTATATATTTATTATTTTTATATATTTATTTATATAGCAAACCCTAAAGCTAGTTTCGTATTTTGGAATTATATGAAATATTTTGTATATAATTTTACTTAAAATATTCCTTTAGGAGGTACTCCAGGTTAGGCTTCTATAGGTTAGTTTACTGCTGATTCTTTATAAAAAAATTATTAATAGATGAAAAATAATATATAATTAAAACTTTTTGCTGGGTATTTTTTTAAAAAGATATTATTGGAATAAAAAGCATAATGTAATGATGTTTTTTCTTTTAATTTTTCAATTGAGTAAGTTTAAAAAATTTGCTAAGAAATGGAAGATTTCAAAAATTGGGATTTTAATTCAATGTTTAATCTAGCTTATTTATGTATTAAATAAGATCCTTTTTATACTGAATTTTTTATTTAAAAAAGTTTGTCTGAATTTTAGTAATATGTAATTTTTTGTAAGGAAAATTAATATATAGGTTAAAATATTATTATTTTTAATTAAATTCTATTTGATAAATACAATTGCTCGCCTTTGTCTGGAAAAGGAAAAATATGTTCAGATAATGAATTAGCCTAATAATAATGGTATGGGAGTGTTATAACATTAAATTTACCCGAATAAATAAGCGATATATTATCAAAAGGCGAAAGCTATTACTTTTGGGATAAAGAAAATATAGACGGACCATTTGAGTATTAATATTTTATAAATAATATAATAAAAGAGGAAAAATAGAATTTAAATAATGAATAAATAAATAAACTTTTAACTTATGACGTCCTTTTTAGCCCTTCAGTGATACCTTAAATTTTCCAATTATAAAAACTAAAAAATAAATAATTAATTAATTAAAAGTTTTATTTTTAAGATGGAGGAGATTAATTATGTAAATATTATAGGTATCTAATGGTAAACTTAGTCTTTAAATCATTAAAATAAACACGAAAAGCCTCCGATCTACTATTCGGATATGTAGACTACTTTGTGGATTCTCAAAAAAATAAAGATCCTTAAACTGGAGGCGACCCTTCTTTAAATTCAACAATAATATTAAATGACCCAAATAATAATTACTACGAAAATACATCTAAAATAATAATGTATACTGGATAATCAGATTCTTCAAAAACTAGATAATATTATTCAATAAATGGCTTTAATTATACAACATATTAGTTTTATTGGTTTGATGGAAAAAATGTTCAAAGTGTATATACTTCGCCTTGGAATGGAAACGCCTATATTTAAGGTTCTGATAGTGTATAAAATCCGCCTAATATAGATTATAGCGATAAGGTTTATGTATATATAGACAGTTTTGATAGAGGAGGAGCTGCTGTATAAATAAATATATATATATATATATATATATATATATATATTATATATAATTTATATATTTTTTTTATTATATTTTTAGGTCTGGAATGGTTAAAAATAAAAACATGGAGGATTAGAATGTTACAGATATTAAAATGAAGATAAATTTTATTAAAATAAGAGTTAGAATCCTTTAAATGATCTTTATTTTTAAAATAATTATTATGGTTTGTAAAATTTAACAAAACTAAAATAAGCACCTATTTTTATTTCTAATAAACATTTTTTTAATGCAGATTCAAGAATTAGTAATTCAACAGAAATATTGGATATTTAAGGTAATAAAGTGGTTTCTAATAAAGAAAAAGATGGTCTCTTTATGGATATTGAGCCTTATAGCGGTATTACGCTAGCTGCAGCTATTAATGTTTAAGTTAATATGCTAATAGAACCTGATGAATTATTTGATATCAAATAACCTGTTTTGATTCCTATTTATAATACTTTTAGAACAGGAAATTGGTCTGATTCAGCAATTGATAATTAATTAGGAGAGCTAAAAATGGCATTAGTAGCGAAAAGATCTATAGAAATAAGTGGATATATAATAGGTGGAGTTTTTATAGTTTTAAGCTTAATACTTCTTTACAGGATTAAGAAAATAAAAAATATAGAATATGAATAATAAAATAAAAATAATTAATTATTAGAAGATAAAGAATAAATTGTTTCTGATAATTATATTTGAATATTATAAAAATATATATATTTATAATATATATATATATATATATATATATATATATTTATATATATTTACATTTTTTTTTTATAAATATATATTTAATATACATTTACTTTTTTATTTTATATTTTTCTTTACTTTCTGCATTTTTTTTTTTTTTACTATTATTTTATTTTAATTTAATTTTTTTTTTTTATTAATTTTTATATATTTTTTAAAAATAATTAATTTATATAAAACTAATTAAAGTGTCTTTATTTTAATTGTTTTTTTAATTTTTTTTTTTTATGTAATAATCTTAAAATAATAAAAATAACCATGAACTTTTTTTATTAATAAATCATTTAATAAATATTTTATTTAAATAATAATAACTAATTTTTTAGATAATCTTTTAATTAAATTAAATGTTTTTACTTTAAAATTTATATATATTAATAAATAAAATAAAAAATCGCATTAAAATTTTATTTTTGAAATATTTATTTTTATACTATAAAAAAAATAAAAAATTAATTAATAAAAATAAAAATAAAAAATAACATGAGTTTAAGTATAAAATAAGCGAAAGTTAAATATGAAGGAAAGCCTTTCTATTATTGGTCAGATGGAACCGGTAGAGACACATATATACTTTAAAATAATGGAGGATTATTATGTCAATAGTTATTAGGATAATTGGAAAAAAAAGGTGAAAAAAAACCTGATTATATTCAAATGTAATTTGGAAGCAAAAGAAGATTCAAAAGTACACTCCCTACAGTAGAAAATTAGGTTACTCATTATAGATCAGACGGAAGTGGAAGGGATCTTTATATATCTTGTAATGAAGGTGGGAGAGTTAATGTATTTAAGAATGAGAACAATGTAAAAAACATGTTTTAGAAAACATTAAGAAATTATAGAAAAATGCCTACTTAGTCGAATTTTTATTAAACTGGTGTTTCATTAAATAACTATTTAAATCCTTAATAATAGGTTAAAAAATAATAAATATATTTTTAATAAACACATACTTCGCTTAGACTTTCAAAAAATAAATTATATATAAAACCTAAAAAATTACCTTTTTCTTGTTTTTAATAGAGTTGATATATTTTAATTATTTCATGAATTTTTTTATATTATTATTAATGGTTTTATTTTTAATTTTAATTAATTAAAAAAAAAAAATATTTATATATTTTATAAATTAATAATATATATATATATATATTTATATATATATATATATATTTATTTTTTAATAAATAAATTTTAAATTATTTTATTTTTTATAAATATATAAATATATAATAATAATATAAACAATATTTCTTTTGAAATATATATTCTGTTTTTTTTATTTTATTTTTTAATAAATATAATTTATTTCATATATATTTATTTATTTTAATAAACATTTAAAAGATTCACATTTTCAAAATAATTATTTATATAATTATTATAAAATACAATTAAAAAAATAAAGAACTAAAAATGTTTAACGAAAAAAATATGTATGAAGCTAAAGTTTTTCTTAGAGCATTAAATGATGCTCATTCTAACTTAAGGTTTTTTTAAAAAAATATATATGTATATTATAAATTAATTATCTATTTATTCATTTAATTTACATATATAAATATAAAAAAAATCCTGATTTTTTTATTAATTATAATGATTATTAGATAAGTTGCATAAAGAGAAGCATATCTTAATTAATATTAAAGATAAGCTGATTCTTTATAATAAGCTGTTATAGGTTAATAAGTACTATTTTTTCTTTTATATTAAGATATATATTGTTATATAATAAATATAAAAGGTAAAAGTTGTTGGAGATTCATTAGCTAAAGGACCTAACTTCGATAAAAGCAAAGAAATTAAACTCTTTAAATTTACTAAGTATTTTTTTATTATATTTTATAATAATGTTTTATTTATTTTTTACTAGTAATATCTTTAAAGATTATTTTAGAGGATTTGATGAATTTAATGGTGACTATTAAGAATTAAAAAAATTACTTGATAATGGATTGGCAAAATTAGGACAATAATAATGAAGTATTTAAAAATTATCCTTAAATAAAACATAAATTAAATCAATACAATATTATTTTTTAAACAAAAATAGTTTTATATAAGATTTTTAATTGAAATTTATATATAATTATTAGGTATTATTTTATTATTGAATAAATAAAATCAAATTTATTATATATAATAATTTCTTATTATTTTTTGTTATTATCTTATTTTAATAAAATAATAAAATAAATAAAAAAATTATAAATTTTAGGTCTTTTTTTATTTAATTTTAAAACATAATACATAAATTTTAAAAAGTTATTAATAAATTTAAAAAAAAACTTCAGAAATTCTACTATTAATAAATACATTCGTTATTTCGTTATACTTTATAATTAAATTAATAAAAAATCATTAAAATCATTTAAAATATAACAAAAAATTCATTAATAGATTTAAATTTAAATTTATATTAATTATATTTAAATTTTTTAGTATCATAATTTTCTTATTTTTATATAATAATTTAAATTTATAAATTTTTTCTTTTATGTTCTAAATATTAATTCAATTATAATGATTTAAAATAAATAAACTTTAAATATAGTTATAATTTGAAATAAAATTATTTATAATAAGTTCTTTAAAATGTGATATATATATTAAAATTTTAATATACATATATATGAATTATTTTTAAATAAGTTATTTTTAATTTTAAAAATATATATATTTTAATTCCTATTTCTAAAAAACTTTTAAATATTTATATATAATAAATTTCTTATAATTATATAACTATTTTAAATATTTTTTTTTTTCCACCTATCAATCTTTTTTATAATAATAAAAAAATAAATAATTAAATGACTTAACAAGTATGTACTTTAAAATATTCATAAAATGAATTTTGGTTAATAGAATTCAATGAAGGTTATATAAAGACGTTACTTTTTGGTTCCCATCCATAAATAGAAAAAATTCTGTGTTATTTTTCGTATTATTCATTTTTTATATTATGTATATACTTCGATTTATTAATAAAAGATTATTAATTATATAAAGATGACTAATTGTAAAATTTTAGATTAATTTTAATTATCTTTTACGCATTATTATTATGCATAATTTTAGTTTTAATAATATTCAGAAATAAGAAACCAAAATTTAATAAAAAATTAAATTATAATTTAGAAATTAATACAAAAAGAATGTCAAAAAGACATCGAACAATAATTCCATAAAATAAGTCTTCTTTTTAATAAATAGTAGAATAAAATTTAGATCATGATATAAACAATACTTTTGAGTTTAGAATGTTAAAAATAAAAGATTTAATTTTTACGTTTTATACTATGTATATTATTTTTAATGTATTATTTTCTCTATTACTATATTAGACTTTGTTTTTATTAATAATGATGTGATTTATATATGGTATATTAGATTATAGTTTTTGTTTATTTTGACTACTTTAGGACTTTATTTTATTTTTGGTGGATTAAATTTGGTTTATAATGTTATTTTTGATAAAGCTTTTTATAAAAAATGTAGAAGCAATAACCTTTATTTTATTATTATGAGCAGAATTTAACTTAAAACAGGTGCTTATATAATGAAAATATAATCAATAATGTTTATTTTTATTTCGCTTACATGTATTTATCTTTATTAAGATATTACTTCAATTATAATTTCATGTGTATATATTTTATTTGCTATTTTATATTATATATATATTAAAGGCTTTTGTGTTCGTTAAAATAAAGAAGAAATTTGAAACAAATTATTTATAATAATTTTTTTTTTAAAAAAAATATATATATATAAGAAAAGTTTTTGAAATAATTTTAAAAATATATCTTTATAAAAAATAATAAAATTTTAATTAATTATTTATTCGTTAATATTTTTTTTTTATTAATAATAAATTAAATAATAAAAGAAATATTTTTAAAAAATATAAAAATATAAAAGTATAAAATAATGATATTTAATTTAAATAATATTAGATATTATAATATCATTAATTATAATATTTTATATTTATTTGAAATCAAAAATATTAATAATATTATTATGTATTTTAAGATAAGATACGTATTGTTTTATTAAGAATTTAAAAATGAAGTTATTATATTTCTTTTTAAGAAATTTTGTTTTATATTTTATTTAATTTTAAGAAATTTTTAAAAATATTCTCATTATAAAAAATATATAAAATTAATTTTTATTATTAAATACATTTAAGAATTATCAAATATAAAATATAAATCATAATAAAGTAAATTTTTTAATTCATATAAAATAAATACTTAATAAAAATATGCTATAGTTTTTACTTAAAAATATAATTTTATAAATAAATAGTATTTACAATATTTAATATTAAATAATTGTAATTTAAATTTTTATATATAAAAATTTTATATATTATATTTATGTAAAAAATGAAAAAAATTAGTTGAAAAACCAATATTGATTAAAAAATTATATATGCCAGTTTAATATTTTTTTGATATATTAAATAGCTTTTTAATATGCTCTAATATATATTTAAGATATTATTTATGTTTTCTTTTTTCTAAAAATTGATTTATAATAATTTTTTTAAACAATTACTTAATAATAAAATTATATATGATTTATAATCATTATTTAAAATTGATTTATAATAAATTAAAATTTTAATATATAAAGTAAATAGCTTTAATTATATATTTAAAAAAATAAATAAATTCTTATTTAATTTTATTTTATTACAGAGAAAAAATAAAAATTAAATATAATTTTTAATATAAAAAACATATATTTTATAAAAAATATATATTTATATATGTATATAATATTTTTATGAATGTATTATTTAAAAATAAAATAATGTTCATAAATAATAAGAGAAATCTAAAATAAGCAATGTATATAAATATGGTAACAGAATTTTTATTTTAAATGCCCTTTTAAGCTTTGGCATACAAGGCAAAAAATTATTGTTTTCATTTTTTAGTTTATTTATCCATATTTTATTTTTTTTAATTTATGAATTTAATTTCAATTATATGGAATACGTAATTTCAATAGTTATTGCTACAATAATTTTGCAAATATTTTAATTTTGGCTTTTTTTGTATTTATCCCTAGGCGATCCTGGGTTTATTACAGTGCCATTAAACTCTTAATAAAAGAAATAACAACCAACTTAATAAAAATTATAAGGCATAATATACAATTTAGATAAATGTAAAACTTGCAATATTTTTAAACCTTTAAGAACTCATCATTGTAGAGTGTGTGATTTATGCGTAAGGGATAGAGATCATCATTGCCCTTTTTTAAGCAATTGTATTGGATATAATAACAGAACTCACTATTTGTATTTTATTTTAATTATAGTTATATAAGAATAAGTAATTATTTGTGAAACAGTATATTAGCTAATTAGTTAAATAATAAAAAGTGGATTTATTTAAGCGATTTAACTGCCAATATGCTATTTAGGTATTTTATAGACACTTTCTTCTATTTTTTTATGGGTGAATGTATTAGGACTTGTAAAATTTTAGTTTTAATTGGTTTTAAATAATTAGACAACATATGAGTTTTATAAAAAAAACTTTGATTAATTTAATCCTTTTGATAATGGAAAATTGAAAAATTTAAAATATTATTTCTTCGGATGTTTTTAAGGCAAAAAACCAGGCGAAAAAGTAACAATTTAATATTTAGAAGAATTATATTTATTATAAATGTAGTTATAATAAAATAATAAATTTTAAAAAATTCATAATAATTTAATTATATAATAATAATAATAATAAATTATTAATACTTCCAAAAAAGATTTAGAAATTACAGAAAATAATGTGGATTAAGTTAAAAATGAAAAAAAAAAAATTAATTGTAAAAATTCTATTGTGAATAAAAAAGATAAAAATAAAAATAATTAATAGAAAAAAAAAGAAATTAAATAATGGAGAAAAATATTAAAATAGTAATATTATAGTTTTAATAAATAAAAACTAAAATAATAATAATATGGTCAATAACATTATTATAAACGGAAATAATAATATTATAATTAATAATAACTGAAATCATTTATTTATATTTATTGTTAATAATTTTATCCAAATAGTAAAATTAACTTTATAGATAAATTATATTTTCCTATTTAATAAGTATTTTTTTGATTATTTTAAGTAAAATAAAAAATAAAATGGAAATATAATGAAACAATAAATAATTAAGAATTAAAAAAGAAAAATTAGATAAGATTACTTTAAGGATTATTTTAAAAATGTTATAATTAAATAATTTAGATTAATTAAAATAATCTATTCTGATAATTTCAATCAAACGCTTTTTGTAAAGAAAGATAAATTAAATGATAAAATAGAAATTATTTTTATATAATACTAAAAGCACAAAAAACAAAAAAAATTTCTAAATAATATAATATTAATATATTTTCAATAAAAAAATAATTATCTATATAATTACATAAAATAAATGTATAATATAACTTATTTAGATATTAATTTAATTTATTTATTATTTTAAATATTATAAAAAAAAAATGTTTTATTTATTTATTGATTTATTCTTATAAATTTATTATTTACAAAAAATTTCTTAATTTCATTTTTTTAAAAAACTATTATATATTTTAAAATAAAATAATATGTATATCATTTATTAAATTATTTTATATTTGAATAAAATAAACCTATTAAAGAAAATATATATATATATATATATATATATATATATATAT